ACTGAAATAAACAGTAGAGAGATGAGGAAACTTGTTGCAAAGACCTGTTTATGTTATGATGAATGATATGTGCATATGTAATGTTTTCAAGGATTTTAACAGATTCAAGTTTGTTTTAAACAAAAGAGAAACACACCTTATATTAATAAGATAGAGTTTGAGTACATCAATGTCGCTTGGGCAAAATAATACAATACTCTAAGATAAAAAATTAGTGCACTTCTTCTTTGGCGCAATGTAGGCATTTAGAGTCTGCTCCTCATGAAGTAGCCTAGTGAGTTCCAAAACCTTCTTCTCGCTTGTGTAGAATTGGGCTTTGAAAGTATCACGCTCTCCTTTGAGATGTATCCAATCCCTTTGTAGATCTTCAAGAGATGTGGGCATGTCAGGATGTAGGATAGTGTATGGAACTTCTCCCTCCTTAACAGTCTCAATGATCACCGGGAGAATGGAAGGATAAGGCATCATAAGACTTTGAGCGCGGGTTCGTACCCACTTGAGGTAAGGCTCAAGAGGGATGGAATTCTTGTGTCCCAAAGTCTTTCTATCCACCTTGTTTAGCATCCTCCATGCTCGGATGAATCTCTGGCGAAGACCTTGATCGTCGTTGTCGTAGTCGAATACCAAGCCTTGAATCAGCATATCATGTAGGCCATCCCTTCGGGAATAACCAAACTGTCTTAGAGCCAAGCATGGGTTGTAGGTGATGCCTCCCATAATTCCAAGTGGAGGGACATTAGGGAATTCCCCACAACGGTCAACAATAATAACATTCTCCTTGGATCGGGAGCACCAATGAATATCTGAATGTTTAAGCGTCATTAACCTTTGTGACCACCTCAAACCTTGCTCATTCTTTAAGAATGGTTCGGGAAGATGAGAAATAAACCATCTTTCCAGGAGAGGAGTACAACACATAAGAACACCTCTTTTCCTTATTGTACGAGTGTGAAAAGAGTGTAAGATATCTCCAAGCAACGTAGGCACCAGATTGCATGACATGAAGATTTTGACAGCACTCACATCTACGAGTTGGTTAGGATTGGGGAACAAGACCATCCGATAGATAAGAAGAGCCACAATTTCCTCAAATGCTTTCAAGTCCAAGGAATTCCAACATCTTTGGGCCTTCTCAAACAAGAACTTTGCTAAGAAGCCTTTGACACCACTTCTAGTTTCCCAATGGGTTGTGACATCAGATGAGTGCAAGTGTAGAGCTTGAGCAATTTCCTATGGCTTTGGATCTCTTTCCGTACTGTTGAAAGGTAGTTGATTGAGAATGGGAATCCTCAAGAGTTGAGAGAATTCTTCCAAAGTAGGCACAAGCTGATAGTCGGGAAATGTGAAGCAATGATGCAAAGGATCAAAGAATTGGAAGAGAACCTTCATCAGGTCCTCCTCTGTGTTAGATGTGACCAAGTTGAGTAGACGACCATGCCTCTCGATGAACGGAGAGTTATCAGGGATCCTTGAAGCTATCTCCTTGAGTTGTGGAGGAATTCTTACAAGGTTGACTTGGATAGTTTTCCTGCAAAGTGAATCCATATCCTACAAAACAAAAACAAAGATGAATCTCCAAAATCCTTGAAATGGTTAGTGGATGCATATGATGCTCATGATGTCTATAATGTTATGCACAAGTATATATATATACAAGCAAATCAAACAAGTTCTTAGTTTAGGCTTGCATGGGGTTTTATAGGTAAGTACCCTCTTGAAGTTTAGTTGGCTCAACCTGTCCTAGTAATAGTAACCAGGTTCTAAGGAGCTCAATATCACTGGATTGTTTCCTTGTTCATTGTTTCATTTTAAGCCTCTTTAATGGCGACCGAAATATCCCAAGAAACCAACCCTCATTGAGTGTAGTATCGAGTATCTACCAACTTCGGACTGCACCAAATCCGGTCATCTCACTACATCTTAAAAGGCCAAGTTGGTCAAGTAAAGGGTTCTAGAAGTTCATTAGTGCTTCATGACATCACTCAGCGGCCCCGTATTATCTTTGATTGCCTCAAAGGCTACCGGTACCCACAAATATGTCACACTAACATAGCTATTGCTTAGACCATGTCGGTATACCCCGCACAGTTTCCACAACGTATTGCTATTTACCTATAATGTTTCCCAAATCCGGGTGGAGGATTCAAAACCCAAACAAAGAACCATAATGTAAACAAATAAAACAATATAAGCAAATAAATGTGATCTAGCCCTAAGGTAACCCCACTTTTAAAATTATCCCCAGCAGAGTCGCCAGTTCTGTGATACGGTGGGAGAACTGACTTGAGGGTTTTGTGTTTTATCGCAAATGTTGCGGTTAGCAAGAGTCGCCACCGACTTTTCATTTATCCAAAAGGAAAGGTGAAAAAGCACAGGAAAGACCTTTGAGATGTTTTCTTGAGTTCGGGGGGTAGATTATGAAAAGGGAAGGTGTTAGCACCCTTTTCATCCATGGTTTTCCATGGGCTCTTAGTTACTTGCTAGATCACTTACTTTTGTTTGTTTGAAATTGTGTTTGGTGTGGTTTTGAAAGTATTTTGTAAAAGAGGCCATTCGTTTAGGCAATCTTTGTAATGATTCTCGTTCGTAAGAATGTATACAAAGATGTTTGTCTTTTTGAAAATGTTTTCAATGTTTGTAAAATGTTTATAAATGTGTGTGTTTGTTTTTGAAAATAGCAAGGATGTTTGTTTGAAGTTAGAGCAAGTAACTATAAGCAATCTACCTACTCAAATGTCTTTCTTATGCATTTTCTATTCCTTTGACATTGTTGTCTTACCATTGATTTGGTAAGCAACCCTATCTTTGGATGTTAACGGGACGAGCGTGGGTCATCGTATAACCATAATTAGCAATGTTTGCAAAGTATCTTGGCATTTTGAGGGACCATGATCATTTTTATAAGGCAACCTTGAATAGCGTCATCGAGGGACTATGATCTTATACTTGTTTGTTTTGCCAAGATACTTCGCATGCGTAATATGGCTATTTTTATTTTAGGCAACCAAGTGGAGAAACCCTAAGGATTCTTGTGTGCAAGTGTATCATTTTCATGCTTTTGATTTTGTCTTGTATTTAGGGTTTTCTATTTTTGCTTTGTTTTGATCTTGTCATACAAACCCTAATTACTAATCATGGCATATAAAGCGATAAATTGCGTAATGTAAATATTTCTAAGCTATTACAACAATTCATGGGAGGGGGAATACAAATTTGAATGGGGATTTGCAAAAATATAAACCTAAATAAATTATTACAACCAAATCGAATTTGTACGAATTTGAATAAATAATACAATATTTAAAGATGCAATATAATGTACATGTAAGAAAAGTTTTTTTTGTTTTTTTTTGTCTTGTTTTCTATGTAAAGAAAATTTAAATCTAAGACCTAAAATTATAAGGAAAATAAATTAATTTTCAAAAGGGAGACTTAACCCTAATTTCTATTTAAAATAAAATGAAGTTCATATGTATTATTTTTCATGTATTTTTTTATATCAAAATAATAAATAATATTGTATAAAAAGATGAAGTTTTTATATATGCAAAATAAATATTTATAAGTATGAAATGAAAAAAATAAATTAAACTAAATATGTTTTAATTATATTTTACAAGTTTATTAAGAAAATATGATATATATTAAAAATAAAATATATTTTTATATGAAAAAATAAACTAAAATAATTATTATGAAATTTACATCTTTTAGAAATTTTTTATATATTAAGGAAATATTTAATATATTAAAAATGAAAACAAAATAAATAAAATATTAAAATATAGAAAGTTGGCAAGGGGGTGATGTAGCAGATTTGTAGTAATGTTAGCAAAAAATACTGGCCCAAAAGACTAAGCCCAACCTGCAAAAAATGGCAAAATGGAAAAGGAAAAATGTGAAAAACACAAAAGTAGTGCGCCCAGGTTCGAACCCAGGACATGGGTCTCACCAGCGCGCTACTTTACCACTGGGGTGGCTGTACATCTGTTGTCTTAAGGAAAACAAAAATAATATAACACAAAACACGTCCTTGCCCTGTATTTCGTCTTCTTCCTCAAGCTTGGCCAGACATTCTGTAACTCTCTCATACTTCCATGAAAATGAAAACTCATAACATGAAAGTTGTAGTACTTGACCTCACGATTCCAACCATATAAGTTATGTGAACTATCAATCAAAGATCAAAGAGAATTTTAACAGCCCTAAATTTTAACCTAATAATTTTAGAAATTTCAAGTTCCAAATTCTCTCTACTCAAGTAAAATCAATGCAAGATAAAGATATGTACAATTTCGTTATGACGAGGACTACACTTTTTATTCACAAATCGTGGCCTATGGTTGCCCGTACAAGGAGATAGAGTTTGAGATTCTTACCTCCTTCAGTTGGAATCGTGGATGGAACTGGAGTGACTTTAATGGAGGCCTGATGCTTGCTTGAGCTTCCTTGAGCTTCCCTGAATGTATTCTAACCTTTGCCTTGCTCTGAAAGTATCTGAAACTCCTTGGCCAAGTCAAACTGCAAGCTCTGAACTCAACAATGGCAGATGGTGGAAAAGTGATTACAGAACAGGGATGAAGGTTTGTATGGGTTTTATATCAAGTATGTAAGGTGTTTGAATGATCAAAACTCAAAGCGCACGAGCCAAATGGAAGATGGGTGTGTTTGTGCAAAAATTGTAGGTTTGAACAGATTTTTGGTGTTTTTCAGCTAGGGAGTGTTTCAGGCCTTTTCTAATCGTGTTATGTGTTGCATAATGTTTGTATATTAGTATGGAAGTTGTTTAATGTCAACCCTCTCACAGTTGTGCCTCTTCTAGCCTTTTTGCAACTTTCCTTGCATTTGAAGTAAAGTGAAGTGACCATGCTTGCCATGCTTGTACTTGTTCCCTTAGGCACTACAACATTTGTTGTCTCTGGCAACACTTTTTTAGGTAACATGTAGAAATTGTTGCCTTAAATTCATATAGGCAACGATTTACGATTGTTGTCAAAAATATGTTTGCAACCCTTGATAATCGTTGCCTAAAATACTTTTGGGGACGTTTATGGAGCGATACTCTATTATTTTTTTGCCAACGGTTGTTAATTGTGCCCTTAACTGCTTTTGGGGACGATTTTAGAGCGTTAAAATATTATTTCTTTAGCAATGTTTGACAATTGTCCCCTAAAATATTTTTGGGGACATTTTTAGATTGTTACATTAGTTCTAATAAAAGGCTACATTTCTGAAATGTTGTATAAATTTTTTTAGAATTATCAAATTTTTGGTGGCAATCTTCCCTCCAAAACTTATACACTAAAAAACAAATATTTTTCTCTAAACATTATTAATATTTATAAAAAAAAATATTTTTCTAACACAGGAATTTAAAAATAAAAAATTTCAATTAAACAGAAAATAAAAAATTATATATATATATATATATATATATATATATATATATATATATATATATATATATATATATATATATATATATATATATATATATATATATATATATATATATATATATATATATATATATATATATATATATATATATATATATATATATATATATATATATATATATATATATATATATATATATATATATATATATATATATATATATATATATATATATATATATATATATATATATATATATATATATATATATATATATATATATATATATATATATATATATATATATATATATATATATATATATATATATATATACACTAAAACTTATATATATTTCAATTAAACAGGAATTTTTCTAACACATTATTAATATTTCTCTAAAACTTATATATATATATATTAAAAAAAAATTCATTAAACAGAAAATAAAAAATTTTCTAACACAGGAATTTAAAATATTTTTCAATCCATTCCCGTTCCATTCTTCTCTCGCCGTAAGTCATCTCTATCCCATTCCATTCCTCAACTTCAATAACTGCATCACTTTACTCACAACATTCTCACTCTCGCTGAATCCAGCTCTCATGATTCCGAAGCAAGTTCGAGAAATCAAGCTTCGCGTAACAGCGACTCCACTCGTTTATCGCTTACTCACTTCCTCGATCGTAAACTGCACAACTCTTCAACAGTCCCTCAAACCGTTCCGGTAAAATTCCGGATCCAAAATTACTCTTAGGGTTTCGGGCTGATTTAATATATATGGGATATGTTGAAGTGTGTTGATTTGTTTCATTTATTTGTTGTTCGTTTCGAAAGCACGTGTTTCTTTTCTTGGATGAAATTTTCTAATTTGTTTTTGAATAGGGGAAATTGACGCCTTTTCAATCACCGGCCAGTGAGCAAGATGGAAGTGTCAAACTAACTGAAGAAGAGAGAAAGTCTGCAACTGCTGATGAGAAGTTGATTTTGGGAATGTTCAAGCAAGAGGGCAAATGTGACTTTGTTCCTCCGTTAGATCTTGATGAGTTAGGAAATTCCATGGCATGTGATGGTCAAGGAGCTAGGAAAAGTAAAAATCCATTTGAAGGTTTGGATTCCTATCCCAATGAACTTGAGCACGCGTTTTGGCTCTGTTATTTATTATTCTTATGGGAAAGTTGAAACTGTTATTTAGGGAAATAATACAATTAAAGTGTCCTTGTCTTTTACTTTATCGACTAGTTAGTGATTGCAAGTGAGGTTCTTTGTTTAATTTATTGATGTCATAGAGAGATATTTGTTTCAGTCTATTTTACTTGGAATGGTCATGAAAAAAGATTTTATATTGACAACCATTTTAACTCCATTTTGGAAGATCAAGTAGGCACCATGTCTCTGATTTCATACTATGTATGCCGTTCATTGTCATATGCTTCTTTAGGAAACTTCAATGTATGCCATTATTTCAGATTTTTTGAGTTTGGTAGCAAGCAAGTATGAGTCTTGCACTGCTCTTAGGGTTTCATTGTTTGATTTTAAAGTTGGTTGGCAATCCTCTTTTCGGCCGAATATATTGATCAACTATAGATTATTCAGAGGAAGGCAAAAGAGTTGTATGTATTGGGTACAGGGACAGGACAACTGCATAAGACTGATTGAGAAGTTCAGATGGAGTTGTCTAATGCTAAACCCCCCCTTTTTTTATGTACCTAGATTGGTGTCGAGACTCAAAAACCTATCCAGATAGATAACTTATGGTCAAACCAATAGAATATGCAGACCATAACATTATAAATTTCAGTTAAGGTTAAGACACCAAAAACTATAGTATAGGATGCAAACTTGTTTCTTGGGCTGTAGTGTAGGCATGATTTTGAGTGTAACTATTACATGATGCTAGTTTTCACCCAACGAGTATACTGATATTGGACATTTGGTATGAATGTGATAATTCATAAAAAAATATCCATGAAGGCAACTGATAATGATATTGGACTTTGACTTTGTGCATATTTAGATTAAAAGTTCACCAATTTATTCTAATTATTAAAAAAAAGTGTTTCATTTCTTGATCTTGTCTTATCTTATAATTTATGTAGCGGAAGTTTATCTTGCCGGTTGAAGCACGAGATTGGATTGAGACCACTGTTAGAGAGGCATGGAGAAGATATAAGCACAAAATTAAGAAGAATCATTTTTTGAAGTATTCCAACATGACCGAGAGACTCAAAAATCGTCCGCCAAACGTGCCAATACTTTGAGTCAACATAATATAGGAAATTCCAATTAAGGATGTTATAGGAGAATGTTGAATTGATGTGTATATAGATATACGGTGTAAGCATTTATCACACAATGCTTCCAAGTTTGTGAAATTTATTCTTATTTCGTTTCAAAATGTGATTATGACTTCCATATATGTAATGAAAGGGGGTTTATGCATGCATAGATGTATGTTTATTTTGATGACATCATTATTGCAAAATACTGAGGCTTTCTCATAAATTGATTTGTTACAGTGGATTTCACTTTGTATCCTTCTTATTAATATGTTTTCCCCTTAAATTTCTTACGACAGAAACGTTTTCAAAATGATATGTCCATAAACAATAATGTGATAGATGTTTTACAAGATCAAAAGTGGGCGCCTATGCCCTAGAAAAAGTTGCAGGTCGGAGATATTATCAAGGTGAGTTTGCAGTGTTCTATATGTTTCTGTGCTAGATTTAATTTTGTCTTGTATATGCTCCTAACTAGAACTTACAACCTCAAAAGAAGGGCATTATTAATGATCATTAATCCTATGCTTATGAACTTTCATTAGATGTTGGTTATCAGGTCCTCGGTGGCTGCAATCCTCCTAACATATGTTACGCTTTGTTGTGGCAGCACGTTTTCCTTCTGTAATTGTTAAAAATGTATTACAGATATTCTGAATGACATTGCAGGTGATGATGAATTCAATGAATGTTCCTTCCAAAAGAAGTACACTGGAGAGGAAACTTGACAAGCTCATACTCGCTCTCTTTGCAACACTCTTTATGATGTGTTTCATTGGAGCCATAGGCAGGTATGTCAGCTAAATAACCAGTTTGCTGGACCACTTCTAAACTGTTGCTAATGTTTTGGCAGTGCTAGGAAGGGTTGGAATTTGTTTTGTATGAGCTCTGAATTAGATTTATTGTTTTAATTACTGTTCCCAATACCAGTGTTTTGATGGATAATACATGACATGCCCACAACTTGAAATTTTATTTTTAGTTGAGTTGAGATTTAAAAATAAGTAATGATTATGAGTCATACTATAAGTATTAATTTCATAAAAATTGTAATCAGTGTCAATTTTTTTATAAAAATCTTAACATAATAATAGCAAGCATGTTATTATAACTGAAATTTTGTAATTACAGAATGGGAAGTTGAGGAATATGCGCTTTTTATATTTTAGTTTAGTTATATGATATGGTTTATTAGAAACACAAATGAAATTTTGAGAAAGCGAGGTAATCCCTTACATTGTAGTAGTATGTATTTGTGAATGATATTATTGGAATTTGTGAATTGCAGCGCTATTTTTGTGAACAAAAAATACTTCTATTTACATCTTGATTCATCAGAGGAGGGCTCAGCACAGTTCAATCCAAAAAACAGATTTCTGGTAACGTGTACTTCTTCTGTCAAGATAAATAGCCACCACTGCTCATTCTTTTTCTATTAACTTATTTGCTAATTCCGAGTCTTCTGTTGTCAGGTTTTTATCCTGACTATGTTTACCCTTATCACACTGTATTCAACAATCATCCCAATTTCACTTTATGTGTCTATAGAGGTTTGTGTCTCAGTCATTTGAATTTATACACTCCAAAATTTCCATGTCTTTGTAAAGAGAAAATGTAATTTATTTGTGTTATTGTATCAGATGATAAAATTTATTCAATCAACTCAATTTATCAACAAGGATTTGGGAATGTACCACAATGAAACTAATACACCGGCACTGGCCAGAACTTCAAATCTGAATGAAGAACTTGGACAGGTAAGTAGCCACCATGTGTTTTGCTTGTAGGTGTAAAATAAATATTCTTGATTTAAAAGGAAGAGAGTGGAAGAAAAGGTACAAAATAATATATACACAAAATGGTGGAGGTTTGAAGGCAAACACAAAAGAAATAAAAGAAGACAGTAATATAAAAAAAGGTTTCTGAAATAATAATGACCTTTTAAGAAACTCGGAATAAAAGTGGTTTAGTATTGCAAACGGTTACATCTTCACCAGGTTCTCACTGTGTCTGAAGCTATCCTTTCAAAACCCCTTCTCGATGTCTCTCATGATTTAGTTATTTTCATAATGAAAGAAGTATTGTTTTCCCTTATTGCTTTTGCACTCCCGAAATGCATGCTGTTAGTTTCTGTTATAACATGTAGTTAGTTTCTGTTTTAACAGCTCCTTGAATTCAGGAACCGTTCCCTTGATTTTAGGAAGTTAGTTTAGTCTAACTACAACTCGATAAATAGAGTTGAATCTATTGTACTCGGTAAGAATGAAAAAAATAATAATACATTCTGATTTTTCAATATCGTATCAAAGCCTTATCTAACATAATCAAGCCTTATCTTTAATCTACGTGGGATTCAGGTTTTCCAATATGAAATATAAATTGTTTTGAAGTTTCTGTATTTTTTTCTTGTCATATTTCAATGTGAAACAAACTGATTTATTAGGTGGAATACATTTTCTCTGAAAAAACTGGGACCCTAACAAGAAACTTAATGGAGTTCTTCAAGTGTTCAATAGGAGTAGAGTTCTATGGAAATGGTGTGACTGAAATTGAGAGAGGACTAGCAGAGCGCAATGGCATGAAAATTGAGGTAGTACTCTTGTTGTGTATTGTAAGAAAGTAGATGACCTGTTTTGAAATAGTACAATTATGTCTTATTATTTCTCTACAGGAAAATGGACCACCCCATACTGTGCATGAGAAGGGTTTCAATTTTGAAGATGCCAGGCTTATGAGAGGAGCTTGGAGGAATGAACCCAATCCTGATGCCTGCAGAGTAAATGATTTTGCTTTACTTTGAATTAATGGTAGCAGTTTATTTTATCTTTAAATCGAGTCTTGAGTTTTTGGTTTGTAAGTTTGATCCTTCCTGAGTAAGGTTCTTATATACATCCATCTATGTTTTAAAATGGAAAATCAGTTGCCTTAATCCGTGCTTGCTTGTTGCATGTTATACATAAGCTATTGGTTCGCATTTATCCAAGAAATTATATGAGATTTCTCTCAATTGTAAACATCTGTCACGAGTTCCATATAAAGTTTGTATGTCTGAGCTGGATACTTAAAAATCTAATTTCTAATAAATGTATATGGTTTTATTTCATTCTATGTGTATTGCACTATCACCCTCATATGTCATGGGTTGCATATAAAGTTTATATGTTCAGAGGTGGATACATAAAAGTCTGCAATTTCTAATAAATGTATACATTTATTTTATCCTATTTGTGTATTGTACTGTCAATCTGTCATGTTCTGTAATTTTAATCCCTGCAATTTCTAATAAATGCATACATTTATTTTATCCTATTTGTGTATTGTACTGTCAATCTGTCGTGTTCTGTAAGAAGATACAACAAGTAAGAGTGTTCATCAGAGTTCATTTACTCCAAAAAATAAACATAAAAGGATAGCACAAGTTATACATACATACATACAGTTAAAGGCTATTGTAAGTCCTGAATAGTGAGCCAAAAACAGAATGGTTTTCATAATTGATTTATTTGCTAGTAAGTTCATGTCACCTATTACAGTTTAGAACGAAAATTCACATCCATTAAAAACCTTCATAATTAATTCACATCCATGAGATGTGAAGAATATAAACAATGTTTTTTGCTCATTGGTTTAGTTTTTATTTGTGCGAGGTTTAATTCTTGTTGATGTCTTAATTGTCCTTTGGACCAAAAATACTTATGGTTAATGTGTTTTATTTTATTTCCTTATGCAGCAATGTATCAATGAAGATGTTGAAAAGGACGATATAAATGATGAAATTCAAGAGGACGACATAAATGATAAAATTCAAGAGGACGACCTAAATGATAAAATTCAAGAGGACGACGTAGATGACGAATTTCAAGAGGACGGCATAGATCTAGATGATGAATTTCAAGAGGAGGATATAGATGGTGAATTTCAAGAGGACGACGTAGATGAAGAATTTATGGAGGATGACATATCTAACGAATTTCAAGAGGACGATCTGGATGCTTTACTCCTAGAAGACAAACTTGAATGAGTTGGATGATGTCTTTTTTTGGCTTGTAGTTGAAAGCATTAAACTTGAAATATGATTTTTGTTCTTTTGCTGAACTATGTTTTTAGTTATTTTACTAGGGTCATACTTCAAAGTATTAAAAGTAATATTGTTACGTTAGGCATTTTGTGTACTCTATATACTATATCTTGAATTAAAGTTTGAACTCGATTTTATTATATTACAACTTTTATGGATGTATGGTTTAAGTTATATAATCAATATTATTTTTGAAGCCAATTATTATTGACTATATTATTTTGATAATAATTGCAAAATTGTATATTTTATGTGGACACTATAAAACAACAACCTATAAGCTATGCCTAAACTTCAAAAACGATCTTCCTGATTCAGGTTTAAGGCAACGATTGTTAATTGTAGCCGAATTTGGCAACGAAACGCTTAAAAAACGTTGTCTCAGAGGCCGTAAATAATCGTCCCCTATTCCTTTACTATAGGCGACGTTTTTCAAAAGAGTTCCCAAAAAACATAAAAAAACGTCGCCTCAAACAATAGGCAACGCTCGCACAGGAGACGCCTAGAAAACGTCCCCTATTGTTTTAGGCAACGATTTTCAGAGTTCTGGCAACGTTTTTCAATTCTTGCTGGAGAGCCTAAATGTTGTAGTGAGGGTTGGTATCAGTTTGTACAATTTACTTTAGACCTGTGAGACTTGTATGTGCAAAGGGGACAAGTCCAATGCTCAAAATTGTAAAGTTTGCAAAAGTTGATCTTTTTCAAAATGGCAATGGTCACTTTGCCATAAATGGAATTACAAGTTGGATAAAGGTTCTAAGGCATTGATCAAAGCTTTGTCAACTGAGTAAGCATTTAATTAAGGAGTATGGAACAAGTTTGGTACCTGGAAAGCATGTATTAGGTAGCATAGGTATTGATTGCAACTTTGTTCTTCATGAAATGGCTTGGACAAAAAGTGAGAAAATGCCAACTTCATCTCTTCGATTCTCCCTACTCAAAAATGATCTTGAGGAGTTCTTGGACATTTTGGAAATCTTGAAATGTGCTCTATAACTCATCTTTGAAATGAATTTTGAGATACCTCTTGGAACTAGGTGAAAATTTGCCATGAAGTTGGGTCCAAAACCTGCCTAAATTAGGGCAAAATTTCACTAAGTTACTTAGTTCATGATCATGTATTCATAAATTTATATCTTGAGATCCAAGCATCTTTAGGAAAAAGTTTGTAAAGCAAAGTTGTAGATTTCATGGAGTTATACAACTTTCATGTTGGGAACTTTCCTTGAATCAATATGCATCATGGTGAAAAAGTGGCATAAAGTTGAGAAAAAATAAGAAATTTTCTATACTTAAAAAGTTTCTAAGTTAAGAAAATTTTCAAATTTAAACTCTAATCTTCAAATTTGGATTTCTTGATGAACAAGTTTCACATTTTGACATGTTTTGGTGAATTATGACCCTTGGCACTTGATTTTGACCAAAAAGTCAAAGTTTGACTTTTCAGTGTACAGTTGACTTTTGATCAATTGACTGCAAATTTCATATGTCAATCCAATGAAATTGAAATGTTTTGAGCCATGTAATTAATTCAAGATGATGAAATTGAATCCTTGAAATCATTATTTAACTTAATTGGTCATTTGCTAGGTTAAAAATCAGAAATTGCCCTGCCTCAGTCAAAACCCTAATTTTGACCATTTTGCCCTTTTGATGATTTGATCAAATTTCTTGAGGAATTGTAATCTAAACTTGATCAAATGATACATATGAGTCTAAAATGTTGATGTGGATAAAAAAATATGAAGTTTGACTGTAAATTGGCCATGGTTGACTTTTTCCCCAATACAGCTGATTTTTAGGTCAACTATCCAATTGACTGATCAAAAATGTGGTTCAAGGTTTGAAACTTGTCATGAGCAATCTTAGGGATCCATAATTATGTTTGAAAGTCACATGAAGCATTGATAGTCCAAAAATCCTTGTGCAATATCAAACCCTAATTTGGGTCATCAGTGCAAGATGAGATGTCTTGAGCTGACCAAACCCTAATCCAGTCTTGAGTCAAAGAAATCTTGTGAGAAAAGTCTTGATAAATGAGAGGGGAAATTTTTGGGTACAAAAGAGTCGGTTTACCAGTGATTTAGTCATGTACAAACTTTCAAGTTTTACCCATAACCCTGATGTCGTCGTATCCTTTGATACATGTTGAAGAACCTTATTACCAAGGCTCAATAATATTGCGATGTGGGCTTTCTCTATCATGGCCATCTTTTATTTTTCCTTTAACGCAACATTCATGGTCGCCGCTCCCTTCAACGCTTCCAAACAAATATGATGAACTAGTAGGGCTTTCATCTTCAAATACCACAGACCGAAATTGTTCGCTATGGTGAACTTTTCAATCTCATACTTTGTTGAAGGCATATTCTCCATGCTCACCGCACTAATTTGTTGTGAAATCAAATGCCTTTTAAATAAAATATAAATTGTTTCTTTATGATCAAGAAACAAAAAGGGTTAAAAAGATGATAGAACACGAAGAACAACAAGGATTGGTTATAATTGCTATTCTTTACTTTCTCTTAGAACAAGATTACAAGTACAAAAGAATAACAAATAACCCTCTCACTCTAAATTAGGATTTCTTGTCTGCAATGATGAGAGACTAGTATGTTATTTATAATAAACCTAACATACTCAACTAATGGGCTTTTTTCACAAATGTCCATTACAAGCTAACTCAAGGTACAAGATAACTTAAATAATTAGACATAACAAACAAGCCCAATTTGACATGCTAACAACCTTAGTATATTCGACAACTGCATGCTTGACCATACTTCGACTACAACATACACTTCTTCGACACCAGCATGTGAGTCACCTTCGACTGCATGCTAATCTCTGTCGAACTTGTTGAACCACGAAGCTGTCCTTCAACCCAATAGAGTTCGACCTAATATCTTCCCCATATATATATATATATATATATATATATATATATATATATATATATATATATATATATATATATATATATATATATATATATATATATATATATTATATATATATATATATATATATATATATATATATATATATATAATTAGATTAAATATATAATTTTAAGTGTATATTCTTAAAAAGAGTAAGTTTATAAGTGGTTATATGTTTAATTAGAACAATATATGATCAATAAAAAGTATATTTATAACTCTATATTTATTTAGAAAATTTTTTTATTAGAATATGTATTTATAAGTGTAACTATATATTTAGAATAAGTGAGTAATATGTTTGAAAAACAAGACATAATTTTTAATTATTATTATATTATTATATTTATAATTTTGTAATTTTTTAGGGGTTAGACCCCAAGCTAACTCAAAACGTCAAAAAATCTTGCAATTTGTCAGGGGCTTAACTCCAAGCTAAATATTGACACAATTATGTGCTACACCATACCACTAGTATGTGCCTATGCTTGCATGGATGTGGGAGAAAAATTAATGACTGCATTTTGCAAGGGGGAAGCCCCCAAACAAAATAGCTAGGTGACAAGCCCCTACCAAAACATTTCTAACGACCTGCATAGCTAGGGGTCTTGTCCCCTCACAAATTTCTGTTTTGTGAGGTTTTTTTTTGGCTTTGTGAGGGGTTTAACCCATGGCTAAATAAACTTTTTCTTGTAGTGAGAAAACAAAGTTGGTGTGTGCAGAGGCTTGATAAACATGTTTGCAAATTGGTCTACGGTAGAAACAAGAAATAGATGTAGAAGTTTGTGCTGAAACTTATCTTGAATTATATGACAATCATGCTTAATGTGCTTGTTCTTCTCATGGAATGTGGTATTATGGGCCATGTATATTGTTTATTTACTGTCTCGGTAAACATATGTTAGTTGAGAAAATTGGATTTAGATGTATTTGAGGAGATGTTGAAGCCATTATAACTCACATGATAAGACAACTAAGGACATGTATTATGCTTTAGTGGATGAAATATAGATTATATATTGTTTATTTGATTTCTAACTAATTAATGATAAGACGGGAAGTACACAAAAACATGTGATTTATCTCCTAATATCAAGGCATCTAGCCCAATGAGAGTCTACAAAGGCATGAATTTTGAGGCACTGCTAGCAGAAAAGAAGATACCCCTTACAGTGGAAGAGTTAAGGTATCTCAGGATACAAATAGTTGCATTATAATGAGGGGGAAATGGCTTAGATACAAATTGGCTAAGGTGTTGGACATCAAATTCAATGTATGTTCTACTATTTGTTAAGTAGATCAGATTGCCAATTAGTATTTTAAATGGCGTAGATCATGAATATGAGAACCATCTGATGTAGAGAGTTTTGAATATGGATAAAATGTTATAGAAGATGTTTTAGAGGCAAGGTGATAGCAAATCAAAGGTATAATGTCTTTGATTGAAGAAAATTCCTGTAGTGGTTCTTGCAATTTCAAAGCCTAAAGAATATCTCAATTGACCTAAATATTTGATTTTAAACTGTTAGTCTAAATATTGTTTGACATAAGCAATTTTAGTTGTAGAATTACAAGCCAAAATAATATCATCCACATATACTAGTAAGGTTGTGAAACTTCTTGCATTGGACTTAGTGGACAAAGAGTGGTCAGCTTAATATTGTTAAAAGCAATAGAAATCAATAAGGAGGAAAGTTTTGAGGACCATTGTCTACTTTCTTGTTTCAAGATATAAATATATTTTTGGAGATTGCATAATTTAGGTTAAAATGAAGCATAATAGTTAACAGGAAGGGTCATGAAGACTTCCTCTTGGATGTCGCCATGTAAGAAGGAGTTATTGATGTCCAATTGTGCTAAGTACCAAACTTTAATTATTTTTATGGATAAGAGGACTCTGACGGTTTTTAGCTTCGCCACAAGGGAAAAAGTGTCAAAATATTTGATTTCGTCTAGTTGTACATACCCTTTTACTACCAAGTAGTGCCTTATACTTGTCAA